TGAATCCACTAGTTTTTTGCCCACAAAACCAACCAATCATAACTACCTTTGGAATAAGAACAAATAATATCCTGTTATATAATCATGTTATTATAGTGAAGGGTAAAATCATGTCCCAAACTGCTGTAGTAAACAACCTGCTTCACCTTTGGCCTGCTGAAGTTGCGTTCTCACAGTTTTCCTGTTCAGTGAGGGATAATTACCAACATTTCAGGTGCACTCACTTTCAGTTTGACCTTTGTTTACAACCTGTCTGAACATCTCACTGTGTGTGTCTCATCAGCTGCCTGACTTTTTTTTGACAATGTCACCGTGTTCCCAGATCTGAGATTTTAATTTAGTGAGTAACTGTTGAACTGTGAAACGAAGCTCAATTCAACCTTACAGCAAATTTTCTCTTCAATAAATGTTTTAATTTTTGTGTCTGTATTTATTACTTCTCATATAACTCGACCAGTGGTTTCTAACCTTTTTGGTTTTTTACCATGTTATAATAATTTTTTTTTTTTTTTTCTGGTTGATTTGAATCATTTTTGCATTTTTGGATCCGATCATTCACAATACATAAAAGTAAATTGACTTTTGTGTCCTGACCCCAAAGTCTGGGAAGCACTGTCCTACATAAGAGTTAACCTGTGACCAGCCTGATCACAGTCCTAACAATGGTCTCCTTGGAAAGGTTACTCTTTATATTTTACAGCACAAAGTCAGAATGAGTTGAAAAGATACTGATACTTTTTGGTGTAAGAATACAAGGCCTGTGGGAACCAGTTCTGTGTCAGCAGCTGTTAAAGTGATGTGGATCCTAAAATGCTCAGGAATCAGGAGACTTAGAGCTATCAAATGATGTATAATTTGTCGAGGTTGTGTTAAGATTGAGTCTGGTACGGACCAATACACACTTTGAGTAGATCTACCGAGGCCAAAGCATTCCACAGGTGGGATGGTGTATTTTTAAAATGAAATAAATAAAGATAAATACTGATGTTATTTCATATTCTGCATTATGATGTTTATGGATCAGTGAACCTGAGAGCTTATTGAAATTCACAACTGTTCTCGGCAGACAGCAACTTTAGAAATTAAAGGTCCCATATTTTAGACTTTTCGTTTTAGTGGTGAAGTTGTGATATCCATAAGAAGATATATTTGTGGTTTTAACGAACAAAAACCATCTCAGTGTAGTTTTACATCTCCTGTCTCTGCAGCTCCAGCAAGAACAGGGTGTTTTCTGCCAGTCTCTGATGCACGGCCAGGCCACATAGGTAAAGAACAGGGCGTATTGTGCTGAACACAATATTAAATTCAGACTAAAATGCTGCGGCATTTCAAAAAAATAAACTTTAACCACTGGTCTCTAATGTTACTCTCCTTGGGAAGGTTGTGCAGTGATGTATTGGGTTCCTGACAGCTGACGATTGTGGCAGCGTTTCCTTGACATTTTTATGTCGTGTAGCCGAGCGGCAAACTTTGGGGCTGAAAAATGAAGCCAACCTTGAAGAGCTGACAACTGCAGTTCCTCTAATGACCACTAGAGTCTGACTCCAACAGTTAGTCAATCCCCATAGACACCCATGATAAATTGTCCAAATTTACAACAGAAATAAACATGTTTACAGTCTGGTACAAAAAACTGTTTTGGTGTCTAGAGCTAAATTCCTCCTTCATGACAACTGTTTATATAACTCACCTGTTTACATTTACATTAAACTTAAAATTCTGTATAATTGAGGGCGTGGCTGCTTTGCGTAACAAGGTGAGTGAGCCTATCCTTGTTACAAGCCAGCATGCACTGCAGCTCCACACTATATATATATATATATATTCTATGGTTGTAGCTGCAAGCTCAGTGATGGAATGATTACTTGGTGTTGTGTTGTGATTAAAGTTAAAACAAGAAAAAAAAGGTTGGATGGTGGGTCCAGGTCCTTTGTTGTGACATCACAAAGTACAGAAGTTCCAACGACTCATTTTAAGGCTCAGTTTCTGAATACAGGCTGTGTGCATTTCTCTGTGGACTGAGCACTTTGATACTTTCACAGTATTAATATAGAACCTAGACCTGATCTATAATCAAACAACACATGGACATCTACCTTTATACCATATGGGAACTTTAATGAATGTTAACTAATGGCTTGTGTCTCATTGTGTCATCTCCTCTTCTACTCTCATCCTTTCAGGGAACATGAGAGGTGGTTCACAAAGGGATATTTGTTCTGTACAGACAAACAATGACAGTGAGAGCAGGAGAGTGAAGCCGGAGCAGAAGAGGAATGAATGAACGTATGACAGAGAGAGAGAAGGACTCACACTGTAAAACGTTAATTAACATAACTCTCTGCTCGGTGATGTATGTGACGTCAAACTTCTCTTTATCCTGCAGAGCCAGACACACCAAACAGTAATAAATACACACTGAAGAATGCTGTACTGTTTGTATAGCTTGAAGGCTGCAGCCAATCACGTTCAGAGGGACAGGCTGATCTGTCAGGTAATTGAGATACTGGTGTCAAACCAGACCCACTCCAGGTTTAAGCAAAGTAACTTGGACCATTAGCTCCAAATCATGCACCAAAAAGTTTGAGGTTTCCTGTGTTTCATGGTAAATGTGGCTCTCCTGATGGAGTCTGTCCTGTAAAAAACAAGCCCACAGGTCGTCTGTGCAGAAGGTTATTATGAGCCATAGTTCTGTTTTGTTGCTAGGCGACATCTAGTGGTCGTAGTAATAATGACAAGAGCAAAGGGAAAAGTGTTGTTGACGTAGTACAAAGAGAAACAAAGTCCACGTCAGGAGGAGGTTGTGGTGGATGGATGAATACAACACAGGAGCACGGTGTTCGATTCCCATGTGAAAGAAGCAGTTTATATTGTTGCTATTATCCACGAACGTTCAACAAAGTTAACCACGTTGTTATTGTTGTAACCATGACAACAAAGATCGTCTAATGTTGAGGAAGTACTTATTTTAACCCAAATCACCATGTTTTCCTAAACCCAACCAAGCCATGACCGTTATTATAGTAACCATCACAACGAAGTTAGGTACGCTGCTCTCGTTACAGTCCGCATGTTTATTATTGTAACCATGACATCCAAGGTACAGTACGCCTGCCGTGCTATTTCAGGAGACACTCCTATCAGAGGGTTGATGGTTGTTCAGGTTGGAGGAGTTATTGTCCTGTTGACTGTGGGGCTCCCATGGAAAAATAGTGAAGACAACTGGTGTAAAATATTCAACCATAACAGGCAAGACTGAAGAGTCAATCAGGCCCAGTCTGCACTGAAGAGGTCTGGTGTACAGGGTCTTAACAGAAACCATTGATCTGCAGTAGAACTCTGCAGTACAATGACATGTTTGGATACCAAAGACTCTTCACTGGTCTCTTTGCACTGAATGTTTGTCACATTTCACTACTGTCACAAACTCACTGACAAGACTGAAAGTCTCAGATCCTGCTACTGCCCCTTTTTTCATTTGACCTAATGGATCAAATTCAGAGTGTTTGTTCATGATGCTGGGAAACTGTGCTCACTGATTTATAGTTGGAAAAAGTATTTTTGGGCCAGTGCGTGTGACGTGGTCTTGCAGTTTTTATTGTGACCACTACACCAACACACCACTACATCACCATCAACACCATCCTCATCATCATCATCATCATCATCATCATCATCATCATCATCATCATCATCGTCATCATCATCATCATCCTTATCATCATTATCATCATCATCAGCCCTGAGCTGTTCCTGCAGGGCTGCTTCACTCTCTGTGAGGCAGGAATATAGATATGGTGAGCACTACTTTACAGCAGTCAATTACCTCAAAGATAGCCCCCCCAACACACACACACACACACACACACACACACACACACACACACACACACACACACATTTCCTCATACTCTTCATCTCTGTCTGTCTCACTAAGCTGTTTATTTACTCTTGCACACTGCCCAAACACACACACACACGCCGTCAGCAGCAGACACTTACAGCACCCGTGTAACATCATCACAGACAGTTTCTGCACTTTTCAGGTAGAGCACCCAATTTGGATGAATCCACCACTGAAAATAGTCCCTAACAGATGCTAAATTTCCTCCTGTTTGTTCGATGAAAAACACAGGGAGCAGCTGTCTTATGTTTTAAATGACTGAATCTGTGTTTAGGGTTTTGTTCTTAATACTGAAGATTGAACATTAACAACACTTAAGGCAAAGTGAGGAGTAGGGCAACTAACAAATATTTACATTATGAACTAATCTGATCATTATTTTCTTGATTAATCAACTAATTGTTTAGTCTGTGAAATAACAGAAAATGGTGAAAATGGTCCATCACTGTTTCCCAAAGTTGAAGGCAACATTTTCAAAGTGGTGATTCTGTCAAATTGACAGTTCAAAACCAGGACAATATTCAGTTTATTATGATGTGGATCACTGAAGATCAGCAAATCCTCATATCGGAGCAGGTGGAACCAAAAAATCTATAAAACAGTTATTGAAACAGCATCCAATTAATTTTCTGCCAATCAACTAGTCGATTAATCTTTTCAGCTTTAATGAGAAAGCAGCAGTTTCCATCCCTGAGAGTGTGACTGTCATTTATCTCTCTGAAGGAGACTTTTCAGTCACAGGCTCAGTTCAGTTCAGCACCTTAAACGCACCAGGACAACCTGTATAAACCTGCTGGATATGTGTACCTGACACGACTCAACTAAACAAAAATGAACAACAAACAGAATTTTTTTTTTTCGTGCGTAAAAATGTATTCATCAGGGACAATTCAGGGGCTCTGAAGCTCTGATCTAAAACCACAGAGGCACGCTAAACTTCAGCTGAGAAGACCAACAGCTGACAGACACTGTGTTGATCCTAAATGTGCTCAGATAATATCCATCATTAGTTCTGGTTTGTACTTTTCTTTTTTGGAACAACTTAGTGATCTTTGCTGTTTTCATCTGCAAGATCAGACTCGACGGATGTGCCCACCTGCCTCGTGGATGTTCTCCTCGCAGGAATACCAGATGCCGGTGTGGAAGCGGCGGAACAGGAAGCGGTCGTCCCCGGTCTCCCAGCTGTAGTGCACCTTGTTCTGGTCCGTCTCGTTCACGCCGTAGTCGATGCAGTTGTGGCGCCGCTGCTTGCTGCAGTTGGGCTTGGGAACACGCTGGGTGCCCTCGCACCAGTACGTGGTGATGAAGGCGGTGGTGGAGAAGAACAGAGCCACCAGGTTCAGACCCACCGACAGCAGCGCGCGACATTTTCGCGTTGTCTTCATGATCTCGGTGCGAGCGGCCGCGTCCCCGCAGGCGGCGAGAAAGTTCATCCAAGGAGAGAGACGGAGGCGGTCAGAGGAGGATGAGGAGGAGAGGCAAGGCGCAGTAAAGGCGCGCAGAGGAATTACGCGCGTCTCTCTGCCTCTCTTCTCCTCTTTGTGCCAGTTCGTCCTCAGAGCAGAGAGAAGTGACAGGTGGTCCGGACTCTCCCAGGGAAGAGAGGCTGAAACTCTGGGTTATAAATATCCTCCTCCATCGGAAACCTTCCAGCCTCTTCGAGAGGAGACGGTGAACTGTCAGAGAGCAGGACGCTCACTGAGGAAACGTGACTCTGAGAGGGGAGCATCTTTCTCTCTTTCTTTCTTCCCCCCCCCCCCCCCCCAACTCTCTCTCTCTCTCTCTCTCTCTCTCTCTCTCTCTCTGTCTCTCTCTCTCTCTCTATCTCGTGCGTCATTGCCGTGACCGGACTACTTGTGTAATTTTCATAGCAGAGCCGTGTTATAGTTTTATTCATTGAACTTCACACAAAGTGCAGTGAAGAGAAAAAAACCTAAATCAGATCAGGATTTGATGTGACCCCCTTTGCCTTTAAACCAGCACCAGTTTTCCTTACACAGGTCTTCAGGTTCTTCAGCTCCAGGTTGTTCCAGCATCTTGGAGAACCCACCACAGTTCCTCTGTCTTAGTGTCTCTGTCTCTTCATGTGATTGCAGTCTGACTCCATGATGCTCAGGTCTCTCTGAAGATAATTCTTTTTGACTCTGGCTTTGTTTGGACTCATTGTCCAGCTGCAAAATGAATCTTGGACCTGATACACTCTCAACATCTAAAGAATCAGAGCAGCTACTAAATGGGATTGTGGTGAGATTGATTTCTCAACCAATGAATTCTTTCATTACCCATTGTCCAAGTGTCAACCAAATTAAACAAGACTGGGTCAAAACCTATGTCTGGACCACGTTGTATTTTCAATGAGCCCAGTAGCAGCTGGTTTCAGCTCTTTATATATACAGTATTTTAATACAGCTGAATTCACAATAGAGCTGTTCTCATTTACGTGTTTTTCTGTTTCTGTTGTCAGACAACAGAACAAGTATTAAACAGTGACTGAAACATTAAGACCATTAAGACTACATGTTAACTTCCAAGCTATTTCAGCTAAAATCCTGCTTTTATACCCACGATATCGTCTGGCAAAATCACCAAACATCACTAGTTAAAGGTCCCATGTAGTATAATGGTAGATGTCCAAGTCTTTTTTGATTATAAAGCAGGTTTAGGTTCTATATTAATCCTGTGAATGTATCAAAGCACAGCTGAGAGATGGGGTGTTTCTCAAGGTTCTTTTCTGGGCCCCCTTCTCTTTTCAATTTACATGCTGCCACTTGGCCAGGTTATTCAGAATCATGGTGTGTATTTCATTTTTATGCTGATGATACCCAATTATATGTGCCTCTATAGCACACACATCCTAGCAGCCTTGTGATTCTTACTTCTTGCCTCTAAGATATTAAATCCTGGATGTCCCAAAATTCCTAAAAGTGTAACAATAAAACTGAAGTAAAAATTTAAGCACCCTGGGGATAATATTTGACACTGACTTAAGTTTTGATAATCAAGTCAAACATGTGGTTCAGTCTTGTTTCTAGCAGGTCAGGATTATTTCTAAAATCAGATCATTTCTATCAATCGCTTACCTATGAAAAGTTGCACATGCATTCATTTATGCTCAGCTTGATTATTGTAATGCACATTATTCGGGTATCAGCCAGGCATCTACCCACCGTCTTCAACTAGTACAAAATGCTGCCACTCATAGTTATTATTAAATCAAAAACAAAACCAGTTTGATGGAAGTAAAAACAACATGAACACTTCAGCAGTCAGCTGTTAATGTTTATGGTATCATATTTCAGCTGACATTGAGTTTTTGCATATCTTTTAATATCTTTTATTTTGGCGATATGCACACACATATATGCCTGAAGAAAACAGCCTGCACACACGGCTTTGTTTTCTTGGTTTAATATAGGTTGCAGATTGTATTGGACACCAGCAGCTTTATGCTTTACGTCTTGTTTTATGACAGTTTAATATACTATGTCAGACCAACTCTGCAGGGACGACACTAAATTCTAAACTTTGTGCTCAAATACATCAATCACATTATGTCAAACCTCTCACAGACTGAAGGTGAGAGATGCATTTTTTTTCTGCTGCTCTCAGGGAAACCCCTGTCCACCCCGACACCTGTAATGATGGACCACACCTCCGCTGTGTTTGTTTTTGCAGGTGTATCGTTCTTGATGAATATGTAGAAACAGCCCGGCCCCCTAATCGATCAGCCAGCTGAAAGCTCACATCTCCAGGCATGAAAATCACCGGCAACAAGGCCGAGCCGCCCACCGCACCCATCCATCACCTCTCATTTTATGGCTCCCACCTCCAGATCAATACTGTGTGTGTGTGTGTGTGTATGTGTGTGTGTGTGTGTGTGATGTATGCCAGTCGGGTCTGATTCAGAGTGACAAAGCACCTCAGGAAAGTCAATAAACAGCAGAAAACGGTGCGTTGATAAATGTGTGATAATGCTGTTGGATTTATCTGCAGTCAAACTCTGAGCTGTTAAAATGTTAATGCTCATTCAGTGTAATGACTCCAGTCCGCTTCAGCTCATTATGATAGTACAGTAACACTAGTTCGAACACACCTTGAGTCCAGACTGTTGCAATCCTACTCTCGGAGAACATCAAATATCCGGATCTGATTTTTCAGAGGCAGAATTTATAGTGTTATGAAGCAACATGGACTCAACATCTACTCTCTGGTGCTGAATGTTGTGATATGGTTTGTTTAAACTTAAATGTATAGTATGTCATTTGCAGCCACTAGGGGTCTCTCAATCACAGACAGAGTTTGATTTTTGAGTTGTTGTCCTCACCACCATAGCTGGCAGCTTCTCCTGGTTTGGATTCCTTCAGTGTCGTTCAGGAGGTTTTTACTTGGAGCTGAATTATCCACAGAGATCTCCTCCTCTACATACCAAACAGTAAAAACACTGAAGGAACCAGTTTCATGATAAGCAGCTGTGTTTTTTCGACACTGTTCAGTGAACACAAGAAGTGTCGGAGGGGATGTGAGCCAAGCTGCCACTAACGTTTGTTCAGCTTATTTCTCTGATAACTAAAGATCCATCTTAAAACTGATTATAAAGTCAATTTAGATTCTCCTGGCAGATGACCACAACAATGACACATGTACAAAGGGGATATGACACCACTGACAAGCGAACAATTGAAAATGACCGTTGCTAACATTAAAATTTCTCTGGATTTGAAAATTGATGGCAATATTTGGGATAATTTAAATTCACAACTCAAAAAAATTATAACACAGGTCTAGTTGCTTTTAGACATTTCAATGCAATGCAAATTTGGTCTCATTTATGGAGGATCGGGGATGTCACAAAAATAAGGTGTGTCCTAAATTTCATATTTCAATAGGTATTAGAAATAGGAATTGTAATGAATGAACTATTAATCCATCAATAAATACTTTTTATAAATGGATTTACAAAAACAGCATAAAACTGTCATTAAATAAACCATTTAGAAATACATTCCATTCATTCATGAATAAATAAACCATTTGAAAAGGTATTTTAAGAATAGCAATATATTCCTGGATTCCCCCTTTAATTTCCATTTTCTTTTTTGAGCTACTTTTCCTTTTACTATTAGCTAATAGATTAGCTTAGTCATTTAGCCTCTCCATTTAGCCTTTCAGTGACATTCTGGGCCTTCAGTGCTGGTGAAATCCTATGGATATCATATGACTGGTTAGATTTCCAACCAGTCAGAGATATTATGCTCGCAACACTTCCGTGTTTGACATAAGGCCGTGTCCCCACTTCTGGTCCGCAAAATTGATAGCCCGAGAAAACGGGAAAATTGTCACAGTTCACTCACTGTTTGCTGCAATTGCCGAAAGTAAACATTAAAAATTTCACATCTCTGAAATTGTGAAGGTAAGTCGCTCACATTAGCTAATGTTAGTTAGCTGAGCTCCACAACGACACCCTTGTCTACCATGATGGCCATTGTTGGTTTGAGGAGAGGCACAATGCCAGCCTGCTTCAGGGTCTCTTTGTCACTGATGGAGCCTTCGTAAAATATTGTTTTCGGGTTGTCTCTCTGTCTCATTCCTGTGGACACGATATCTCAGTAACACCTTGACGGAAACTCTTCAAATTTAGCACAAATATTCACTTGAACTCAAGGATGATTTATTTAGATTTTGGAAGTCAAAGGTCAAAGATCAAGGTTGTGGTGACCTCACAAACCACATTTTTAGCCTTATGAATGTGACACTTTGAAGTAACTTTCGGCACAGGAGCAAGGTCAGTGTGACCTCACAAAACACTTTTTAGCCATAACTCAAGACTTCACACAGCAATTACGACAAAACTTCACACAAATAGTTAATATTTCATGACTCTGGATAAACAGGGATGTAATCTGAAACTAGTCTGTGTGGCGGAGGTAGACAACCACAAGGCAGTAATTCTAGTCTCTCTTTCATTTATCAGTTTTTACGTAAATACACACTGTATATGCATCTGTGTTTGGACTGTGTCAATGGCTCATGCCATGGATGAGATAGAGCAAAGACTTTCAGGATGTTTGTGTGGTATCTAGTGAAGTAGAATCATTCTACACACAAAATCATAAGTTATAAGTGTGTTTTATTACTGTGGCTGAATAATGAGTCTAACTTCCTGTTGGTTTGTGCCACGCTGGTTGTTGTATTGTTTGGTCCTCAGTCAGCTTTGTTGTCCACTTCAGGGCGTGTGGTCCCAACAGTTTCTGCTCCTTCAGGCCGTCAATTTGTTTTGTCTTAGATTACCTTTTTTAAAAAACAACATTTTCCCCACGCAGAATATATTTTTTTAAAAATCATCCAAAACCTGAACTCACCTCGAGAGACCATGAGCTGACACATTTGTTTCTTGGAGAGAAATCCAGAAAGGATGTTGCAAGGGTCTGAGCCAGTATTTGACCCCAATTTATTTCCCCACTCTTGATAGTGTGTGAATAGATGTAATCAGATTGAAATCAGATCATTTTAACACATTAATTAAACTTTCCACTGAACAGCAAATTAAATATTTCATGTTTTTAACTAAACCAGTGTGAATAGAAAATATTTGAGTTGGTTGCTTCTTTTACATCATGAATTGGTTTCTTTTAAGCTCCTAAAATAGAGCTGTGAA